TCCAGCCATGCTGAGGCAGTGTCCCACATACAGCAACTAGAAGGATGTGCAACTATGACATACAACTATCTACTGGGGCTTTGGGGGAAAAAAAAAAAAGGCTCTTTCCATATACTCTAAAAACTCACACATACTTTTTGGCCTCAGTGGTCACCCATATCTGGCTAACTCTCAAATCTACACATGTAGACCCTTAACATGTCTTTGAGGATCTTCAACTCTGTGAAGCTGCCAGAGCATATGACTCTCAAAACTCAGGAGGTAAGCTGCCCATCAAGAGAGAAGCTGGCCTGATGAGTGTGAGGGGCCGCTGGCTGGCTGTCACCAGTCAAGTGACGGGCCCCACACCATAGCCACACAGGGGCCTCCTTCAGTCTTCTCATCTCAAGTAGCACAGGTCTACCCACCTATCGCTCCTCCCAGAAACCCAGAGATCATCCTTGACGCCAACTTCTTCCTCACAACAGTCAAGCCTGGTCAATTCTACCCACATTTTATTTCAAATCTGTCTTTTTCCTATCTTTACTTCCAAGACTGAGTACAAGCCACCATCATCTCTTCTGGACTGCAACAGTTTCCTCACCAGCCTGCCCACTGCCCCTGTGCCCCACAACATTCTATTCCTACCCAGAGCCAGCATTTAATCATTTAAAAATACAAAGCAGCCCAGGCCATTCCAGTCCTGTGAAGATTCAATGTGAAATGTTTGTGAAAGTGCTCAGCACAGAGCAGCTCTCAGCAATACTGATTTTCCCTCTTGGGCTCCACTGCTGGGACAAAGACTCAACTGCAGCCCTCAGAGGGAGGAGCAGAACATCTGTGAGAACCTTCATTAAAAGAATGGGCCTAGGGTCAGCCCCGTGGCTTAGCGGTTAAGTGCGTGCGCTCCGCTGCTGGCGGCCAGGGTTCGGATCCCGGGCGCGCACTGACGCACCACTTCTCCGGCCATGCTGAGGCTGCGTCCCACATACAGCAACTAGAAGGATGTGCAGCTATGACATACAACTATCTACTGGGGCTTTGGGGGGAAAAAAATAAATAAATAAAATCTTTAAAAAAAAAAAAAAGAATGGGCCTGCAAGGGCATTCTCACTGTCAACTCCATCTAACATCCATCACCAAGGGGGATTTCAAAGAGCAACTTGATTAATCCTCGCTGGGTTGTGCAAAGTACGTTTATTCTTGGTAGGGCCTTGACTCTCCACCAGCATCTGGGCGTCTCACTGGCTCCTGGCAACACCGGCTTTTTCCTGTTCTCAGGAACTTCCTCTCCATTTGGTTTAAACCATCGAAGCCAAGCTGTTATTGTTAAAGGATTAGTTTTGGACTTGGGGAAAGCGTGAGTATTTTCTTTTCGAAAAACATCTATTTTTACAGGAGGCCCCGTTCACCTCTCTGAGATGGCACCCGATGCGCTTGCACAATGAGGCTCTCTTTCAGCCTGACTTCTGGTCAATCTCCTCTGTGACCCCTGCTCTAGGCACAGTGGACGCCTCAGCCTCCCCAGGTATATTGACACTGCCCACCACACCTCTGCTCTTCTCTCTGCATGGACTGCTCTCCTCTCCCACCTCAGCTCAGAGAATTGTTCTCGACCTTCAAGGCTGAGCACATGGGAAACTTCCTCTGTGAAGCCCTCCTGGCTCTCTCCCCCAGGGAGCTATTCCCACTGTTGTGCAGCCACGGTCACCCTGCACACCTCTAGGCATTGCTGTATGACAACTGCTCACCAGTCTGTCCCCTGTCTTGGTTACCTATGTATGCTCAGGTCCAGCTGGAGGCTCAGGAAAGGCTGGTGCTGTGGATCAACCTCACTGCTCCCTCTGCACTTGTGGTGGGCTCCCTGCTGTGCTGTCCCTTGCCCTGTGCACAGAGGCCCTGGGCAGGAAAAGTGGCTCGGCCCTGCCATGAAGCGCCAGACCGGCTACGTGCACTTTGTGGGTCTCTGTTTCCCTCTTCCTCCTCGCAGAGCTGTGTGGATTTAATGAGCTGAAAACCCGAGGCACACAGCGAGTTCACACTCAGGGTTAGCGACTTGGAGGGCAGCAGGAAGAGCCCAGAGAGTGAGAGAAGACAGCAGGGTCACTGTTGGAGGAAGGCTCCTGCCATTGCTTTTCTTGGACAATAAGGAGCATTCTGACAGGTGAGGCCGGCTCCTGGGCCCTCTGGTGCCCAGGTGAGCTATGGCATCAGTAACCTAAGTCAGCGCATTCCTGCTGCCATGCGACACTTACAAGTAAAATCCAAGCTTTGCAATTCTTCTGAGAAGGAGCTGTCTGATCTCTCCACATGCTTAGGTTTCATTTGGAAAAAAAAACACACAACCACGAGCCATTGACAGGCTGATGGCCTTGGGCAAGCTAGAGCCATATCTGCTGGTGTGGATGGAGAAGTGGATGAAGAAGCCCCCGGCCCCAGAGCCCAACCGTGATGCGGATGGAACTGTTCTTCCATCTCCTAGGGCTCATGTCCTCTAGGCTCCTGCCACTTCCTAATTCCTTTTCCTGTGTCCTCCATCACAGCCCCTGGAGGACTGGCCCCCTCATAAGGCATTCACCATGCTGTACTCTGAGCAGCTCGAGCACTGGGACCACATCTTGTTTATGCTGGAATCCTAAGTGCAGGCAACACTCCTCTTTTCTCTCTCAATCTCTCTCTCTGAAATTATCTCCAAATTTCTCTCTGCTCAGGACAGGGCTGGTACGTGGAAGATGCTTCATTACACACTTGCTACACTGAAATGAAGAAGGATTTAGAGGACTCCTTTTGTCCCGATGCCTCAGATTGATCCCTTGAGAAGGGAGACCTTGATTAGCAGTTCCGCTGATTGGCTAACCCAGGTGACAACGGATTCTCTGCTCCATGCTGAGGCCCAGGCGTTCCCGACAAGAGCTGAGTTTGGGGAAGCCTAAACACCCACCTCTTGGCCAGCAGTTTGTTCATTTCTTCCATGAGGCCTCCTCCTCCACCCCCGCTGCTCGCCCGGTTGGCGTCAGACTTGGAGGTCCCGCTGGGACTGGAGCCTCCAGATGCATCTTCTGGCTAAGGGGAAAGGGTGCAGTGTTTAAGTCTGGTGTCTGTGACAGGACACTACTTGAGGGGGTGACGGGGACGTGTGTGAATGCAGACGTGTGCTTCCCATCACGGCAGTGCTGGAAGAGACCCGAGGGAAGGGTCATCTCATCCAATCTCCCCCCCCCAGAGACCAGAGCAGGACCAGGACTGGCTGGTCACACAGTTAACAGCCACTCCCCAGGTCTACTGGCTCAGTCAGGGCCCTTGCCAAGACCAGTGTAATGGGAGAGGGGAAGAGACGCAACTCTGGGAAGAAGTGTTCTTAGAACCACAGCCACACTCAGCCTATTCCAGAAGTTCCACCTTCTAGGACATTTGTGGAAGGGCTAGGGAAGAAAAGCTGAGCCTGATGGAATTGACTTCCATGACAGAACCTGGTACAGTGGAAAGAGAGATGGACTTAAATTCACAGGACCCAGGGCCCAAGTCCAAACTCTGCAACTGATAAACTGCATGACTTGAACAAATTGCTTAAACATCTGTGCTTCAGTTTCCTGAGCTATAAAGGGGGAAATATTTCTTGCCCCGCTTGTGACGGTCAATTTAAATAACTGAAACCATATAAACTTATGGTTCACACAATGCTATCTCATACGTTTTCTCATTTAACAACAATCGGCAGAGGTGTTGTCTAGGTTGGAGGAGGGCAGTGCTTTGCTCCGTGTCTTGCAGATGAGGGAAGGCTCTATCCATTGCGCAGTGAGAAACCAGTCCCCCAGCCATCCACCTGTGCCCGGGGACACTTACCCGCTGGACTCTTCTCAGCTTGGCCCCAGCCAGGGCAGCGGCCAGTCCTGACACAGAGCTCTCGTCGTGGCTGGTACCCTGGGCTCCTCCGGCTGGCAGTGGGGGTGGGGGAGGGGGGGTGGCCCCTGTGGGTGGAGGCGGGACAGGGGGTGGGGGTGGGGGTGGAGGCCCGCTACATGAGAGGGGGGCGCTGGCTGCAGATGAGGGGTGCCCTGGTGGGAGGATGGGTCCTGAAACACAACAGTGGGGCTCAATCAGTCCCCAGCCCCTAGCTGGTGCTTCCCTGGGAGGAGGGACAGAGGGCAGCCTGCTCTCTGAGGGATGAGGAACAAGGAACAGCTTAAGGTTGCCTCTTCCAGGAAGCCCCCATGGGATGCACTTGGCACTGATCTAGTCACTCCCTACGCTGGTCTCCCCAGAATTCTGGGACCTGGCCCAACCCATAAGGTCACATACTTGCTTAATACTCCTTGAGCTCAGCTAACTTTCTCTTCCTCCAATCATGGTTTCCCAGCGGGAGAGGAAGCTCTTTGGTGGCACTAATTGTACCTTTTTTTCCTTCTCTGTTCCTTCTCAGTACCTACAACCATCCTAGGCATTGGCAGAGTTGGTCGCTGAGATGTGACTGTGACTGACCCTTGGCCTTTGGGGACTGTGGCAGGTAACTGTGGGTCACAGGGCTGACTGGGGCATATGTCAGGGAGCAATGGTGAGTGCTGGGCAGTCCCCTGCTCCCTGTCCATCCCTCCAACCAACCCTCCATCCCACACTGAGCCGCCACTGTGTGCCTGGCACTGTGCCAGGCACCGGGGAGAAACGGTGCTTGTGGCCTGGTGGGGAAACAGTCAACCACTCACAGATGAATGCACAATCGTTACTGTGGCAGGCTGACAAGTGCTACCAAGAACAGGCACACAATGCCATCCTGGCACAGGGAGCACAGCTCCAACCTGGCCAGAAGCTCATGGAAGACCTTCTTAGGGAGTGCCGACTATGCTAGGGCACGACAGAAGAGCACGAGTCCAGTTCAGTGAAGGGGCAGTGAGTGCGAGGAAGGAGGAAGAGGATAGGAGGAGCCTGAGAGGCACTGGAGGAACTGAAGGGAGACACCAGGAGGGGAGGCCTAGGCAGGATGTCTGCAGTAACCAGGCCTGTGCACCTGCAGGCCTGCTAAGGAGCCCAGCTGTTCAGGAGTGATGGGGTAGGGGTGACGTGGTGTCAGGGTCAGACGTGCATTAGAAATGCACAGGGTGGACCAGAGCAGGAGCAGGAGGCCGAGAGGGGGTGGTATCAGCCAGCATTTTCACCAGCAGGGGCTCCTGCAACCAGCCGGGGCTTGGTTTTCTCATAAGTAAAACAGGATAACATTCACCTGCTTACTTCCCAGGGCGTTTGAGAGAATTAAGCAAGACAAAGCATATGAAGGCACTCTCTAAGTTATGAAGTGCTATACTTACTAATCAACATTGCAATTTTGCAGACAACCCTACTCCTACTTTACTGTGCTGAGTCCCGGCCAACGTTCAGGACTGACCCCAGGGCGGTCGGGCTCTCCTCTGTGTACCTTTGAGCCTCACTTGGTCAGCTCGTGTGCTCTGTGATGATCCAGTGTCTCCCTAACTGGACAGTGGGCTCCCCAGGGCATCTGCCTCGTGCATCGCTGTGTCCTCACCCTTAGCACAGTGCCCGAGATGTGGCAGGTGCTCAGGGAATGAGTGGTGGGCAGGGGCCAGACCAAGCTGAGCTAATCTCCCACTCTCTGCTCTGTTCTTTGTCCCCTACTTTCATCAGACGTGACTGCCACACTTTGAGACCTATGTAACCAGCAGCTCTTCACAGAGGGCCCAACATGCCCCTGGCACCATCCAAGTGAAGGGGCTGCCAACCGGGCACAGGTAAGGGAAGCAGGGGGCTCTCACCTGTGGCTGAGGTTCTTCTCTCGAGAGATTCCTGACGCTGCTGCTGCTCCATCACTTGTCTGAAAAGCAACAACAGCAGAGCTGGTCTGACTTCTCGGAGCTGAGAACAGTGTGGCTCTGTGTCCACGGAGCCCGGGCATTAGCGTCAGGTTTCGCCAGCACTCCCTGAGAGCCCCCTGTACACCCTCGGCTGGGGGCTTGGCAGTGAGCTCCCCTCATCCCACGCTGGGCTTCGTGCCCCTACTTAATAGAGGCAGGGCATGTGACTGGTTCAAGGTCCCCAACAGGTGAGCGTGGCAGCCATCTGAGTCTCAGGCACGCGTGAACAGGAAGCCCCTCACGAAGGCTTGGGTGACCATCTGGCCGAGTGACCAAGCTTTTCCCTAGGCTGGATGGGCTCATCTGGCTTTGGGGGCCTATCCGACCCCAGGACCACCCATTCTTATTGCACCTGGCTAAGTTCCCTGGAACAATTTTCAGGCATTGTTCGTTGTCAGAAGTGGACACTATGGCTGCACGTCCTCATTCTTTTCACCACAGATCCAGCCGCAGGCCTGGCCTCCATTTAGAGGGCCATTTGGTACGCTGCAATGCAACGCTCTGTGTACCCCAGTGGGAACTAACGTCCTAGCTCCTTATGGCAGAGTGGCCTCAGGGTGCCAGTAAAGGCTGGTCGAGTGAGCACACTGACCCATAAACGTATCCACAGACAGGGACTGAGTTGCCGGAGCAGGAGGGGTGGCAGCAAGGCTTCAGCTGGTGTGGAGCCAACTCTAAGTGCCTGCTAAGGGAGCACGGGGCCCGGGTGTCTGCGGCCCTGGAGGCCAGCAGTGGGTTGCAGGCCATGTGCCTACAGCGAGCTGGTGTTTCTCTGGTGCCGGCACCGTGTCTGGCACACAGCAGTGGCTAAGTGCTTTGTGAGGGAACAAATACAGGAATCTTGTCCAGCTGCTCTCATCTTAGACAAAGGTCAAAAGGGACCCCGAGTTTACTGCAGACTATCTAGAGGTACAGAGCCTTCTGGGTCCCGCTCTGGGATTCATGGCTTTGTGATCACAGGTAAGTCAATTCCCTTTCCTGGGCCTCAGACTCTTCCCTGTAAAATAAGCACAACAACACCTGTTTCATGGGTTCTCATGAAGGATTACACCTGATACCTAAAAAACAGGAAAAGACCCTTTTGGCCTTAAAGGTGTTTGAAAAGCTCCCAGCATCTGCATTAGCTTCTCCATCCAAACTGCCAAAACAGGGGCTGGCCCCGTGGCATAGTGGTTAAGTGCTGGCGCACTCCAATGCTGGCGGTGTGGGTTCAGATCCCGGGCATACACCAATACACCGCCTGTCAAGCCATGCTGTGGCAGCGTCCCATGTGGGAAAAAAAAAAAAGAGGAAGAGGGGCATGGATGTTAGCCCACGGCCAATCTTCTTCAGCAAAAAGAGAAGGATTGGCATGGATGTTAGCTCAGGGCTGATCTTCCTCACACACACAAACTGCCAAAACATCACCCAAAATTCCAACCTCCCCAGCAGGAGCCATATGCTTAGAAACCCTCTGCAAAATGAGGACTTTTGGAAATATTTAAACAGCAGGTATGATTCAGGTCAAGTTCACAGACTGACCTTCAGGGAGTGCTCTGGCCCATGACAGTGGACTGCAGGCAAAACTGAGCCACCTTCAGCTGTCAGCGGCCTTGGGCACCTTGGATGTGGGTCGTGGGTTAAGATAACGCAGTGTGGTGCTGAACCAATTCTGAGAGAGCAACTGAACGATCTGTTTAGGACCCTGGTACCCCTGTACATTCATTCCTTGAGTCTGGAGGAGCTCACTCAGGCCCTTTTCTGGGTGGAGGCAGCCCTGGGACCCGGCAGAGAGCTGAGCTGGGGCCAGACCAGGCTTCCAGTCCTCGTCCTGCCTCTAACTCCTGGCTACTTTGGGCAAATCCATTTCACTCTCTGAGCCTCAGCTGGCTCACGTGAGAAACAGTGCCAGTAATAACAACCCCTGAGGGTTAGTGTGAGGATTAAAAAGAGACAAAACGTGTAAAACCCTTTTGTAAACTGCAAGGTGCTATATTCCTGAGAGGCTAGAAGACAGGCCCACTGAATCAGTAAATGCATGGGAATTAATAAAAAAGGACTCTCTAGGAAGCACACCCACATGTGTACCTCATTTGCTTGAGATAAGCAGAGCAAGGATTAACACTATCATCTCCAAACAGGGAAATTAAGGCCCAGCGCAGTAACTTGCCCAAGGTCACAAAAACATGTCAGAGCCGGAAGGCGCCTCAGAGATCATTCACCCTTGGCTTTCACTCCTCAGAGTCGGGGGGTGGGGTGGGGAGAAGAGACCGTCCTGAGAGAGCCTCTTAGCTAGGTGAGGGGTGGGGATAAGCGCCTCCTCGGCCCCCAGCCCGGGCTCTACTTGAGTCTAGCCACAGGCCCATGGAGTCACTCCCTCTCCCGGTACCCTGGGTGAGGACAGCCTGGACCAGGCCACCTCCTCAGCACGGCTCCCACAGAGCTGGAATTCACAGCCTCTCAGAGGCAGAGCCCTGCAGGACGGCAGACCGGGTTCAAGCCCTGCCCCACTGTTCGCGGCAACGTGACCTGGTGGGGCTGCTCCTTCCTCAGCCACCACGACCTCTTCCATAACTTCAGGACCACAGCACGGGCCCTTCCTCCCAGTCCTAACCCTGTAGAAGCTCCTCAGAGGGTGGTGGGCTGTTGCCCCATGGCTCACTCCCTGTGGAGCTGTCTCCTCCACAGGCTGGCCCAACCAGGACATCAACAAGGCCCTGGCCAAGCCGTCGAAGTGCAGCTGCAGCTCACAAAGCGCTCTCATGGCCTCTGCCCGCTTTAACCTCACTGGGAGGTGAGCGGGCAGGGGGTTGAGGCCCTCTGAAGAGGCCGTGGCACCCGCCCAAGGCTTCCGGCGAGAGAGTGGCAGCACCAGAGCTCACAGCACCACTCCTTCGGACAGAGTCAGAGGAGAGCAGCATAGGACGGTGCCAAGGCCAGGGCCTCAGCCAGACAGACCTGGGCGGGTCGTGTCCACCCACCTCTAGCAGTACGGCTTTCGCCTCGTTACTGAACCGCGCCACGTCATGACAACTACCTCCTGACACACTCGGGAGGACTGAGTTAAATAAGAGTGGACAGCACTCAGGACACTGCCAGGCTTATCATGAAGGCTGCCCAGTGGAAGTCAGTGGTGCTCTCTCTCTGTGAACCACACACGCCATCATTGCTCTGGCGAAGCTGTGAACTGGCTTCCTCTTCCTTCTGGTCAGGCCTGCTCCCCTGCCTGTGGCTCTGGGACGCCTGGCCCTAGCTGCAGGTGTGTCCTCCGCTCACTGAAGGGTGCCCTGGGCCCCCAGGCTGGCCCTTGCTGGGTGCGGGGTTACCTTCTCTGGATGTCCATCTCATCAGGAGAGGGGCCATTCTGCACCTGACGCTGGGCGGAGGGGCCTGCGGGCAGAGAAGCACAAAAACATGCTGGTTAGTAGAGAAGAAAGGCCCTGACACACTCCTGGAGCTCTACCTGTCTCTGCCCCTCCTGGTCCCACAGGAGGTGCCCCTGACCTTTCCACCTTGGTTCTCCCCTGTGTGACCCCCGCCCCCATCTCGTTCTCTTAGCTGTCCCTCTCCCTCTATCTCATGGTTCCTCCCTTGGAACCAATAAATGAGATCACATTTTTCACATGGTTCAAAATCATCCCTTTTAGCTATTGACCTCTTTCTCCGTCCCTCTCAAATTGCCCACGCTGTTTCTACTTCCTCACCTGCCACTGTCCCCTCAACCTTCTAACATCTGCCCTGGTCTCTCCATGTCCCACAAGCTGTTCTAACTAAAATCACCTGTGGATTTAGCATTACCAAACCCAGTAGATCCATTTTATTCCAACTTTTAATTTTTTTTTTTTTTTTTGGTGAGGAAGATCAGCCCTGAGCTAATATCCAATGCCAATCCTCCTCTTTTTTTTGCTGAGGAAGATTGGCTCTGAGCTAACATCCGTGCCCATCTTCCTCTACTTTATATGGGACGCCGACACAGCATGGCTTGACAAGTGGTGCATCAGTGCACACCCGGGATCCGAACCCACGAACCCTGGGCCGCTGAAGTGGAGCGCACGCACCAAACCACTTGCGCCACCGGGCTGGCCCCAATTTTTTTTTTTTTTTGAGGAAGATTAGCCCTGAGCTAACATCTGTTGCCAATCCTCCTCTTTTTTGCTGACTAAGATTGGCCCTGGGCTAACATCCACGCCTATCTTCCTCTACTTTATATGGGATGCTGCGACAGCATGGCTTGACAAGCAGTGTGTAGGTCCGCACCCAGGATCCGAAACTGCGAACCCTGGGCCGCCGAAGTGGAGCACGGGAACCCAACTGTTACGCCACTGGGCCGGCCCCCTATTCTACCTTTTGAGCACAGGAATGATCCTTACAGCAGGTAAGTGTCAGAGCCAGGGTCTAGCACCTGGTCTGTCTGAGCCACAGCCCACGTTCCTCCCAGTGATGTGATGCCCTCCTGCCTGCATCTAGGAGCTGCAGCTGTGGGGTGCGAAGGAGCCGGTGGAGGCAGAGGTGGCAGAGGCTGTCACGGACAGAGCAACCGTGGAGCCTTCCAGGCCCCACCCTCACCCTGGACCCTGAAGGAAGGGCCCCAGAGCAGGCGGGGTCTGCTGTGTGAAGCCCGTGTTCAGATGGGGGCTGGTGCTGTGCCACATTTACAAGAAAATCTAGGCTTTTGCCCTACCCTGAGAAAGAGCTGACTGTTCCTTCTCTTTGCCAGCTCAGGTGTCACTTTGCTGCAGAGGCACAGTGACAGGGGATGGACTCTGGGCAGGCTGATCTGATGCCTTGCTGACTAGATGGGGAAGGGGCTTTGTCTCCTCTCTGGAATGAGGGGACAGCAATGTTCAGCCTACAACAAAATCCACAGTGTGCAGAAGCCCTCTCCCACAGAGGCTTCAAGCAGTGAGGGATTAGCAGCTTGTCCCCTGGATCAGGGGCACGGCGGGATAGAGTAACAGAATCTCAAAGCTGAAACAGATCATCTGATTCTAGGGCAACCTCCCGCCCAGCACAGAAACCCTCTGTGCTTCCTAGGCAGGCCCTCTGAGCATAAGCCCAGCAATGGAAGCTATCACCTCCAGGGGACCAAGCTCTTTATTATACTGAGGTCCCAAATCTACCCACCCATGAAGGCCCCATTTCCACACCAGGTGTAACACAACCTGGGTCAAATCTTTTCCTGTGCTTGACAGCCCTCCTCATGCCCCAAGTTGGCTTCCACATTCGGCGGTTTACAGACCTGCTGTCCTGGGCCCCAGTCTCAGCCTCAGCCAAGTTTTCAGTGAGCCATGCTTTGCTGCCCTCCTGGCCCCAGTGTGGATGCTTCAGCTGGGGAAAGGGGAGGCTCCAGATGGTGGGCAGTGGGCCCGCTGCTTGGTGGGAGGCGGAGAAGGCCTCCTCGCACTCGAGGAGGAACTCCTCCCCTGGGTGGACCTGCCTGACCCCATCCTTGCTCAGCGCCTCCCACTGCTCTCAGAGGATGGGCAGGAGAGAAGATGCCTGGGTACTTCGTACAGAGGAGACATACGTAAGTATCTGGTGTGGTGGCCTGGCACATGGGAGGCATGAAATAAATATTAGTTTTCTTTCCCCGTCTCTAAATACATTTTTTTGCTTTATTTATTTAACATACAATAATTTTGCTCTTTTAAAAAAATTGGTTTTTCTGACTATAAATAACACGTAACATATGTTCAGTATAGACATTAGAAAATTTAAAAGTTTAATAAAGAAAATAAACATTCCCAATTAAAAAAATTCCCCAGTGGGGGATCTCACTTCCCCTGTTTCGCAAGGCACAGGTCTTAGGGCTCCTTCCCTCCTTGTTCTCAGGAAACCAGAGCAAGAATACAAGAACACTACTTTACAGTAGTGTCAAGGCACTTTTCTTAATTTAAATTTATTTTAATTCTCAAATCCTATAAGACAGCTCCCCCAAGGACTTGTAACAGTAAAGAAATGGCCCAGAAAGGGTAAGTGACCTGCTCAGGGTCTCAAAGACAGCAAGCGGCAGAGCCAGACTCAAACTACCTGCAAAATGCCACTTTCTTCCTTAAATGCAATCACACTGGTGTTGGATTGAGACTGGCTTGAAGAATGAAGAATGAAGGGGCAGGCTGGTATGCCATCAGAACAGCCACGAGCACAAGGGGCTGCAGCCCTCAGGTGGTGCTCTCAGGCTCTGCCTGGTGTCCACACAGTGGTCAGGTGTCCCCCAAAGGCTCTGTGCCCATGCCCACTCATCCTGGCCGAGGCAAGAGGGATTCAAGACGTCTAAGCCCACTGTTCTGGGACCCAGGCCTGAGCTGCTTTGCCTCTGGCTTGGCCCCATCCTTGGGCTTGGCCCGGGGCCCTGGGTACCAGATCAGACAACTAGACTTCTGTTTCGTTCTAAGACCTGGCCCACACTTGAATCTGGATTCTGTCCTTCTTTCAAGGGCTGAGCCCCTATTCTGCAGACCCTGTCTAGCAACTGGTCTGAGAACTGGAGCCCACCCTTACCCTGGCCAGACCCTGCCCTAGGACGGAGGTCTTGTGATGCTAGGGCATCAGAGATCTCTCTGCACCTGCTGGCCTGGCCTGGCCTCAGTCACTGGGACTGTTTCCCACTCCTTTGTCAGAACCCCAGATGGCTGCCAGCTACCTCCACGGTGGTCTGTTGTGGTCCTGCGCTTGGGCTCCTCATTCTGCTGCTGGGCTGGATTTCCTCCCCACACCCTGAGCCAGGCTCTTTCTCCAGAGGGTGGGGGAAGTCTGACATGAGCCCTCGCTGCTCCCAGGGGGCTCTGGCCCCTGCACTTCAGACATATTTCAAAACCAGACAGCTGGAATGTTAGATTCTACAGAGCAGGACGAGACAACATTTGGTTGCATAAGGCCTTGTATTTTTAGTAAACTAAGAACATGTTAGTCTGCCTTGAGCTATGAGGGTCCTAAACATTAGGAAGTATAGTCCCTTTGTTTTAGAGGTGGGAGCTAAGGCCTGGGGAAGGGGTCTGTCCAGTGTCACACGGGGTATCTACAGCAGATGTGAGATTCCCACTGTCTCCATACTCCTGGCCTATTCCACCCACTGGCCACAGCTGCCCCAATGGCAAAGGCAGGGAAGCGGGGCAGGGAGGAGGATCTTTCCTCCAGAACTGTCTAGGATCCTGGGGAACACCAGGCAACATCCATTTAGGTGCTTCTTCAGCATTGAACTCTCAGGGTGGGAGCATGTAGGTGGCTGGTCATCACTCCCATTTGTCCCGGTGTCGAGTTATTCTCAATGATTCCCTGCATGGTGCAATCAGAAGCCAAGGTGGAGTAATACCTCAGGCCAGCTGCACCTCTGCCTTCAGGATCCAGGTGAGCAAGCAGGTGGGAACCCCAGCTCCTCCTTCTTCATCTCCCACGTCTCGTTAGTCACCGAGTCTTATGGCTGCTGTGTCTGAGATCCCTACAGAACCCATCCGGCTCTCCTACGTGGCTGCCTCAGCGTCTCTCTCCTGGACCGATGCCTCAATCTGCGAGCGGGACCCTCTGCCTCCATTCTCTCTCCTTTCTCCCTGTCCGTCTTCCATGCTGACATCGCGGCCTACACGATCTCTGGGAAACACACACTCTAACCTAAACACATGAGATTAGGTCCAAGCTCCATCGAGTAAGATTCCAGCCCACCCTGCAGCTGCTTCTCCTGCACCCCCCTTCACAGTGGACCTTCTGCATCTGCTCCCTAAGCCTGATCACGGGCGGTGCTTCCCACCTCTCTGCCTCTGTGTGGGCTACCCAATCCACCCAGGATCCCTTCTCCACCTGCCAAGTCTTCAAGGCCCAGCTCCACCGTTGCCTCTTCCGGGAAGCTTTCCCCTGTCTTCATGCTCCTGCCTGCTTAATACCCAAGGGCCTCTCTCATAACACAACTTTCTAACTAATATTATAGTGATTTGAGGGCATGTCTTCTCTTCCCTATGGGATCTTGAGCGTCCTGAGGGCAGAGACCACATCTCTTACTCCTCCTTCCATGCTCAAGGCCTGGCTCACGTCAGACCCTTGGTATATTTTATTGAACTGAGATGGGAAGGGTACAGGCAACTCGTGATCACCAAGCCTGGGGGAAGCACAGGTGAAGGAACAGAACTGAACTGGCTCAGATGAAAATACAACCAAGGTGAGCCACAGAAACACAGGGACCCCCAATGCATGCTTGTTGGAGAGGAGGCTCACCAAGGGACAGTTCCAGGCTAACTTCCCTGCCAGCACCAGGAACCCACTGCTGACCAGAGGCCTTGGGGCAGACCTGAGAGACGGGGCTGCTGACCTGGCCTTTGTCGCAGGGCATTCCGCTTCAGACTTGCTCCCTGGTAGAGGACAACCCTTGGCTCTGCATGCAGCTGTGTGCTGACTCTGCAGTCACGCAGCGCCCCCCTTTGTACAGTAAATGTATGGGGACACTTGTCTGAAGATCATATTTAACTGCCTCGTCTCCACAAGGTACAATCCTGGGCAGGCAGTGGGAGTGAGGAGCAGGGTTGGGAGGGCGAAGACAGGCCTGAGTTCTGCCCAGGCCTGTTAGCGGTGCCACCTATGCAAATCCACCTGTTTCCTCATCTATAAAATGGAAATATGAACATGAATACTAATACTAATAGTGGCACCTCACAAAGCTGCTGTGAGGAATAAATGAATTGCAGGAAAAAAGCCCTTGATAAACTATGAAGCCCTGAAAAGTACAGTTCTTGTGACTTTTTAGAGCAAATTCTTGGTGGACCTCTTCACTGAGTCAAACACTTCTTGCTAATCATTAACCCACCTGTGGATTTGCACACTTGAATGGCCCTTTGCCCCCAGTCAGGTCTGTTGGTGCTGCTAGAAAGGGCCCTCACCCCCCGTTCACAGAGCGCTTTCTTCTCTGCTGGCCTCCTGCCGCTGGCCCCCGCTGCCCAGAGGGTCCCACCACGGCCCCGGGAGGTACACAGAATGAGCAGTGGTGACTCCAAGAGGTGAGGGGACTTGCCCAAGGCCATGAGGCTTGTGATGCTGGCCTTGGTGTCACAAGCTTGTTGGTTTGGGAGCTGATCTTGCAAGTAGCAGGGGTCTGGCCCACCCACTGGGGGTGGGGTCCAACTCAGACAACCCTTACCCTTCTCTCACTCGCTTCAAATAAGTTTTGCCAAAGGCAAAATAAAGAACCTATTCGCATTATAGACACATGAGAAGAGGAAAGGAAATGCAAGCTGGAACATCAAACAAATGTCGGGAGAAGCAGGGTGCTTGTGAATTACTGGTGTTTTGTGGGTACAGCCCATGCATGGGTACATGGGTACACCACACCCTGGTGGCAGGCCAGGGCAGAGTGACCTGTGCCCTGACGGACCTCCTGTCTGAACAAGAGAGGAGCAAAGGGACAGAGGGCGAGACCCAAGCTGACACCTGCATCCAGGATTGTCTGCTCTAAGTTCCACTGGACCATGACGCTTCTTGGGGAAGGAGTTGACTTCTCACTGCCTCCGAGGCCCACTTTCCAGCTTCAGGTCTAAGTTCCATGAAACACCTACTCCTACAAAACACAGTGGTGACTCAGGAGGTCTTTTTATCCTTGGAGGACATGAAGTGGGGAACACAAAGAAGAAAACCAAACTGGAAGACAGGGTGAGGCTGGCCACACTCCAGCCATGAGCCCACCTGGGAGGGGGCGATGCGGGGGGGAATGCTGGCCAGAGGGGATGGGAGCTGGCCCCGCACCACAGATGCTGAGGGACCTAAGGTGAGAGTCAGTATGACTGACCTGAGGCACTGATGTTGGCCAGACTGAGGGAGAAAGTGGGGCCAGGAGGTCTGACGTCATCTCTGAGTGGTGGCACATGCAGGTCAGAACAGCCGAGGGCATCTGTACCTGGGACTCCCTGAGGACTTGGGGCAGGCCACTTCCCCTCGGTTCTCACCTATGAGTGGGTGTTAATGGTCGCCACACCCTTCACAGGGTGTTCCCAGATGGGAGGAGAGCATATTCGGTACCAGTACTGCACCCTTTCTAAAGGCTTTTTAGGCTCTGTCTTTGACAAAGACTTCTAACACAAGATACGATGATCTTCAGGAAAGTTGACTTTGCTTAACAGGGAGGGGCAGGGGAGAACAGATGAGAGGAAACACCTGGTTGCACATGATCAGGCTTCCAGGAGAATGCACCAGATGTGGCTGACGCCCCCTCCCCCAGCCCTGCTGCGGGGCAGAGAGGTGGGCAGGGTACAGGCAGGGCCCAGGTCACACTCAGTTGTGCAGGGGGCACCTCCTCACAGGGACTCTGCTAGTGCCGAGCCCCTCGCCCACTAGGACACACTAAGTACACCTGTACATGCCAGGCAAACAGAGAGGTCAGGACTTTCAATCTTCGGGGACGTGTCTGGTGAGTTCTCCATATCCCAGCACTTAACTTTGTTCTTGGCATACAGTCAACACTTGATAAACATTTGTTGAGTAAATGAATGACTGGGCCCCAGGCAAACTGTCTGAAGATCTCCAATCAACTGTTGAGACTGGAGCAGGTGACACATTCCTAAAGCTCTCACCTCACGGCTGGAAATAGTCAGTGGCTCTGCTGGGGACCATGCCTCGTAAGCCTTGAGACATTAGAGCAGGTGAGACACTGCAGGTCCCCAATGGTGGTGGCACTTGGAAAATACAATGGGAAGGGATGAGGGAAGAGAGAACTCAAGTTTACTGAGCAGTCACCATGCTATGTGCTAGGTCCTGTGCCAAAGACTTCATAAATGATGCTCACTTAACCCTCACACTCATCCTAGGAGCCTTGGTATGATCTGTATTTTATCCAGAAGAAAGCTAGAAAGTTGGAGAACTTAAGTGACATCTTCACGGCCACTCAGCAGGTAAAGAGCGACACCAGGTTTAAACTTAGGAATAGAGGACTCGAAAGCAAATGCCTCTTGCTGATTCGCTGTGACTTCAGTGCACGTTAGGCACATACTGTCGAACTTCTCACATCCAGAGGAAGGAAGGGTGGGGAAGAAGAGATGGGAAGAGAGGGGCAGAGGGCCCTAAAGAGGACCGGGCAGAGCTAAGTACAAGAAAGCACCGGGGCGGGAGAGAGGGCACCTTGGCACGAAGGCAGAGGACTGCTGTACACAGCGTCCTGGCATGCTCCTTTCTTAGCAGGAGCCCAGCCCACACAGCAGCCTCTCAGCACCCACTGGCCTCTGGAAAGAGACGTTGCCTGCCTGCTGCCATTCTGCCTGTCCCCGACTTGATGCCCCGTCCATGTAGTACTTGGGTGAAATGTGTGCAAACAGATGCTCCCATCCCAGGAGAAAGATCTGGATCCCAGGCTCACAGAGCTGTACAGAGCCTGAGGGGCCACCTGGCCCGGCCTCCCTGTGATGGGCTTATATGCATGACGGGGCTGCCCCAGTGTAGGGCAGATCTCCTGCCACAGTCTTCCTCCTGATGGGCTGAAATCCTTCTTGCTAGCACTGCTCCTAATGGTCCCTCTGTCAGGACCAGAGAGGCAGTCTTTCAAGTGATGGCCTGCCAGCCTTAGGACAGTGGAGAATAGTGCTCATGCTCCCTGTCCAGTCCTCACCAAGGGAACAGCCCTAGACCTCCCACTGTCCCTCATTCCTGTTTTCCAGTCCCTCCTCTTTCCTGGCTGGCCTCTTCTGGACTGTTCCAAGGGGAACAGTCCTGGATAAGTGAGCAGATTAATCACAACATTTATATAAATTTATATAAATCCCCTTCAGAGTGAACCTGGAGCCAGGAGACCCAAGTTCTTGTTGGAGTTCTGCCACTAAGTCCCTCCACCTCCCCGGGCCTCAGTTTCCTATAAAGTTAGAAGGATGGAACCAAGGATCATCTAGTTCTGAATCTCTGCAAAGAAGGAAATATACCAAAATGTTAACAGTAGCTATCTCTGGATTGTTGGATTATTTTCCTCTTTTTGAACTTCCAAATTACGCACAAGAGGATGTGTTACCTTATAATAAACAAACGGCTAAGGGTTCCCATGGAAGAGACAAGCACTCCTCTGTGACTCTCTCCTCGAGTCTGGCAGGTGCAGGGCAGGCAGAGGCCACTACAGCTCCTGTCCCAGGTACTGCACTTGAAGCTATCCAGCCTCAGGTGGGCAGATAAAGCGAGGCATTGCTGACACCTCTTCCTGAGAAGGGCCATCTTCTTGCCTATCCATTAACATTTATGAGGCTCTGGGACAGAAGGGACAGACTAGGTTTCCAGTTAGTCTCTATCGGAAAGGTATCCGCTGGGCCTCCTGAAAAGACGGAACCTGAGATCTCAGGAGTGTCACAAAGGATCCAGCAGCTGCTCAGTGATGCTTGATGGAATTTCTGGCCAGCAAGCGACAGTTACCTGGTCTGTGCTGGGCATTGTCCCAAGCCCTTCTGAGTCCCCCTCCCCCTTCTGCCACCTCTCTGCCCAGCTCCTTCTCCTTTCTCCAGAAGGGTCCCTCCATTTTGGACTGACTTAGAGTGATACTTTGGGATGGGGTGCAGCCGTCCCTGGACCAATTCCTTAGCATGGCCTTCCGTTCTCATTTCAAGGTTCCTACTGCCAAGCAAGCAAGTGTCCAGGTGGGAACGGAGTCTGTGATCCGGGCCTGAGCTCTGGCCTGGCCGCAGTCTTCAGAGTCACCTCACCAACGGCACATAAGAATTGGTGGCAGAGCTGGGACCAGCGCGTAGGACAAATGTCTCCCAGCCCAGAGCTCTGTCCAGTCAGCACACTGCTGCTCAGCTCTGATTAGACAGGCAGCTGCCTCACCACCTCCGTGCTGAGGAAGCCAAGGTAGTGGTGCTTAACCCATCTCCTGCACTCGGCTCAGCAGCAGACAAATCCTGATTGCCGCCTCCCTACTTAAAGTTATCCTGGGTGAATTTTCTATCCCTTTTCTGCCCAGTCCTTACTAATGAATTTAGGCTCACAGTGGGCCGATATGTGAGGCAGTTTCTCTGTTTTACTCACATCACCAGAGCCAGCTGATTCCTTCCCACGACAACCATGTAATAGACCCTCATCCGTGGGCTCAACCCCATGGTGACAAACGGTTAGAGCTGTGTCTAAGAGGCCACTGTCTAAGTGACCTGTAGACCTGGAAGGTCAGCATGTGCAGCCGCAGAGAGTGCAATTCAGAGAGGGGCTAACTGCCCGAAGCCACACAGTAGGACGCACCTACCAGCCCTGGCAACTAGGCACCAACATGGTACGCTGGAGAGGAACGGCCTTTTCATTTTGACACTGACAGCAGGAGGCCTGCTGGGCCGCCCTGGGTGCTAGCAAGCCGCACCACCTCCCCGTCCCTCTCCTTGTGCAAGGGGGTCCTGAGGCCCGGGGAAAGGGAGGGACACGGCCTACACCAGGGGTAAGCAGGCCTAGAACCCAGGTTCCCGGCTTCCAGTCCAGGACACTGCCAACCAGCCTGTTTGGTCCTACTGAGGCTGTGGTCCTCAGGCCAGTTATTTTCCTAGTAAAATATTTTTCCTCCCTTTCCCAATAAGCTCATTTTAGGACACAGAATAAATCTTGAAAAGAATCTCAAACAGATTCTTGAAAAGAATCTGCAATAAAAATCTGTCACACCTTTATAGTGTGAGTGACAAAGTACCTTTGCACCATTGTTGTGATTAACCTGCTCACTTATCCAGGGCAAGGCCTATGAGACCTATTTTATAGATGAGAAACTGAGGCTCAGAAGCGGTGAGTGACTTGCCCAAGGCTACATGTCCTCAAGTGAATGGTGCTGTTGGGACAGGAGCCCACATCTCCCGATGCCCAGTCCGCATGCTGCTGCTTCTGCCCACCACTTCTGCAAGGCCTCAGCGCAAAACAGCATCTTAACCCTCTGATCGGTCAAGGACAGGTACTCCGTGCCAGGATCCAGAGCTCACACCTCCCCGCCCCCCACCCCAGAGCAGCTGGGAGTGAACGGAGAGGCCCATGAGGAGCAGGAAGGAGAGGGAGGAGCTCCCGTCACCTACAGTTCACTCTGCAAAGCACGGTGCAGTCGCAGTGGCAGAAGCAGAAGCAGTGGCAGGTCCACACCCTGCTGACCATTACAGGCCGGCCCCTGGCGCAGTCCGGGAGGTGCGCTTCTCGCATCCTGGCCACTTACCTCTCCTTCCTCATCCGCCTGGCATACGCAGTGGGAAACCGATACGCCAGCCAGCCGTCAAATGGGCTTCACCGCTTCAATCTTTAATGATGCTTCCCAGGTAACCTATCAGAACCCTCCTGTCTATCAGATTCCAACAAGCCCTGGGGCCCTGGAGGAGGGTCCAGACCCCTCGTGGGGCCAGCTCACAGGCCTTGATGACACAAAGTGTCTGCCAGAAGAAACCTCCTACTGTGGCTCTCCTCTTGTCCCTGGTGGGTGATGGGATGGGACAGGGTGGGCACAGAGCCAGAAGGGAAGAGGTGACCAGCCAAAGAAAGAACCCCCAGTCACTGTTCAACTCAACCACTGCTTTTCCCAGGCTCTCTCCAGGTGTTCCTCCTTGGCTGTTCCTTGGTCTTCCTTTCCTCCCCATCACTTTTGCTTACTCTCTTATCCAATCTTTGCTGCTCCTGTTCTCTTTCTCAGCCCAACTAGCCCCAAGGCCTGCAGGAAATCAATCCTTCAACTTGCCAGCAAGCATGCCTCTCTTCCACTGCCCTGGGACCCCTTACTGCCATCATACCTGTAGGCACAGTGGCTGTTCCTTTGGCTGAGAAGGCTTGTCTGCACTTCCCTAACTGGCAAACCCCATGACCCATAAAGCCCAGCTTAAGTGGGTCTCTATCCCTGTGGAGCCTTCCCTGGCTCCTCAGGTGGCAGCGTGGGCTGCTTCCTCCTCTTCTCCCCATCTGCTCCACTGTAGTATCCCGCACCTCAGCATCCTGAGGAATGAGCTCACTGCCAATTTTTAAGTTTCTGTTTATTCCACTGAACTGTGAGCTCCTTGAGAGCGAATACCATGTCTCATCCTGCACAGAGCCTGGCACAAAGTGTGCAGAGAATGTCTGTGGGACATGCCCAAATTCGGCATCACTTTCAGCTCACTACGTTGGAAACCCAAGTTAGCATCTTCTCACAAAAGCAATGCCTATTTCCCCAGTCCAACTTTGGTTTCTCCCACTCTGCTCTCTACTGTTCTACAGCAAATGCTGTCTCTCCTGCAAACTGTCTCTCAGGTCCACCTTCTCTGCCCTGCCTTGATCCCAGTCTCATGCTCCTTCACTTGGGGGGCTTTCCTGTAGCACCCAACTGGTCTCTCTGCCTCGGCTGGGCCCCTCGAGCCCATGTTTCCACATCTAACATCAGAAGCATAGCTCTTCCGGGCTGTTCCCCAGCCAGGAAGCTAGGGGCTCCCACTGGTTCCCATGGGAAATCCTTACTTTGGGATCTGAGGCCTCCTACACTCTGACTCGCTGGCCTAGCCCCCAGTTCCTCCTCCGGCCCCCTCTTTCCTTAGGAGTGACCTACTTGGGTCAGGCACTGTCTCCCTTAGTCTTCCCTTGTGGGTACCAAATGTTCCTTCTTTACTTCCCCTAACTAAAAGGCAAATATATAAAATATGTAAAGGTATTTGTAAGATACAATGTTGGACTTAGAGGAATTTGAGAGTCCCTCAGACTTGCTGCCTAGAAGGCATCTCGTCTTCCCCTCTATTTCCCCCGACGCGGGACTCACGTGGTCCTGCCTGCCCAAATCCTTCACTGGATGATTAACAAATGGATCCTAGCGGGCTCTGGAACCTTGGGCAGCCAGTCACTTTCCCTCTTTGGGACTGAATTTTCCCACCTTCAGGCTGAACTAGAGAGGAAGCATCACGATGCCGACAGCAGCACCCAGCACTTACTGAGTGCTCACTACATGCCAGGCGCTGTTCTGAGCACATGGACTTGAAGCCAGTCAGGTAAGTTTGAGTCCTGGCTGTATTGCTGACTCTTTCACCTTGGGCAGGTTACTGAACCTCTTTCACTCTGTTTTCCTGTTTGAAACATAACAAGAGCACAGCTTGTCTTGGGGGTGGATCAGTGACATGTTAATGTCAGCCCAGAGTCTGATGCAGCACAACTCAACACCGCCGGTTTGCCTCCTCCTCAGGCAATTTTGAGTGATTAACATTTCATATTTGTATCTACCAAATTCTCGTAAAACAACCCATGGAGGGACCACGAGCAGTGTTATCATTACCCCATCAGGCCAGGGATGCCCAGAGAGATTAAAAACTTGCCTCTGGCAAATTAGTGAGTGACAGAGTCAGAACCAGCAGCAGGTCCTGCAGCTTCCAATCACATGCTCCGTCACAAAGAGCTTCCTCTGTCTCTTCAGAGGTCACCTCTACAGTGGGTTACGTGTGTACACTGCCCGAAGGAGAGGCCTTCAGGAGCCTTCTCTCTCCTCGGTATCCACTGGTCAGAAATCCAACTCCAGGCCTTCCTGCCAGCAATGGACCACTTCTGCTTAAAAGAGTGGTATGTAGTGGAAAAAAGCAGCTGGAGAAACTGAAGCTGCAGTTGTAATCAAACCTAGGGTAGGGGTTCAGAAGATCCATGTGTTAACTCTGTTTGGGCTTTGGTCTCTCTATCACTTCTAACTGAAGAAAAGGCACTGGATGGAATCCACAGAATTTCACACCCTCCCAGGTGGGCAGGGCCCACACTCACCAGCAGGGCTCAGACCCTGGCTGAGCTGCCAGCTCTACCTCAGCTGCTCGATGCCCCAGGAGGTGAGTAATGAAATTTTGATATCAGGGTTTGCAAAAGGGAATAAGGAGGACGGGTGCTACGAAAACACAATCAAGCAAATAGCTGGGTTTGAGCCCTGATTCTGCGGTATTGACTTTATGAGCTAGTTTCTCCATCGATAAAACTAGAGTCTCAGCTGATATGGCCCACACGGCCCTTTTTGACACTGTGAGCCTAAGAACTAGTTAATTAAATGTACTTGTTTCTTCAGCAATATTTATTTCTAATTTTTTACTCCAGTGGAGGAAAGCAATGGAGGGAAATTATTTCTAGACTAGACCACATAAGAACATTCTGCTAATTATGCTTGGCTTGGCTAATCTCCAGCTGTACCAGGTCCCTGAGGTCAAACCCGGTGGCTGGCAGTCTTCTTGAGCTCCGGCATTCTGCTACTGAGGCCAATCCACTCTGCCCTTCACTCCTAAACTGAAATGGGCCCCTGGGCCTTGAGCAGACCCTTTCAATTTGGGGGTGGGCACCCCAACAGTGTGGTGTGCTCTAGGGGTGTGTGGAGAAACAGGGAAAACACTGACCACCCTTCTGGAGCATCAGTTTTACTCAACAGTAAATAATTTAAAATAGAGAAACAAGCACAGATCTATCATGGAGTAGAATATAAAATCTGCATGAGTTTTTACAATACGGCACAAGACTTCCAAGGACTTTGGAGACTGGGGGTCCCTTTGGGCTACACCCCACCCCAGGCCCAGGAAAGGCAGGCTCTGGCTGGCATCCAAGGCCCGTCGACTCACACTCCGAGGCGAGCCTCCAGCTGCTCTCTCGCTTGCCCTCTGCTGTCCTTCAGTAGGTTACTTGCAATGGTTCTTCCTGAAATGTTTCTTTCCCGCCTTCCTCTGGTGGTTCCTCTGTCTGCGATGCAGCATGTTCCCATCTCTGCCCCACCAGCCCCGCCATCCTCTGAGGAGTGCTCAGCGACTTCCAGGAAGCACCTCCTGACATCCTCACAGAGAACGCTCCTTCTCCGAGCCCTGCCCTGCCCAGCACCCAGGCTGCCTTTTATTAGAGCCGTGTAGGTGCTTGTCTGCTGCCCCTGCTGGACTGGGAGCACCTTGCATAAGAGAAACACCCCACATTTATGCTTCCACATCACCGTGTCTAATTCTCAAAACAATCTGACAAGCTGTTATTATCACTCCGCATAAGAGATCAGAAAACGGAGTTTCAGAGGCATGAACCACCCATCTAATTGGTGGTAAAGCTGGGTCAAGCCAGGACGCTTTCAGCTACACCTTTCTGCCACCCTCAACATGGCCGTGTTCCTCCGAAGCCGGGAGACAGGCAGGGGTGCCGTCCATGCACAGTGGTTACGGAGGCCAGTCGGCCAGAGCAAAGTGTCACTAACTCCATTTAGAAAGAAGTCACAGAGTTGCACTGGAGTCGGGGGAGGGAGGCAGAGCCCGAAGCACTCAGGCCTCAGAAAGTTGCAGGCCAGCTGGGAATCTGCTGGGAGCTTCTCTCTAAGCCCCGATAAGAGCCATGGCTCCAGGGCAGGGATATCCAGGCTGTGATTTTTCACCTCTAAAGAGCTGTTTGGCAGGGAGAAGAAGGCCTGGGCCTCCTTCCTCACAGCTCCAGGGGCAGGTCTAAGCTGAGAATATTATACTCAAAGGCTGCCCTTCAAGACCAGGCCCTGCCTATTCCTCACTGCACCTATTCTCCCAAACCACCCAGGACAGGTAGCGGTCCTGTGCGTGGCGCCACGCTCAAACACATCTCTGGGTCTCTGCACGTGCAGCTGCCTCTCTTTGGACTGCCCCTCTCCCTTCTCTAACCGGCAAACTTCTATCCATCCTTTAAGACTCAGATCAGGCATGTCCACCCCCAGAGGCTCTCCTGATAGCCCTGTCCCTCCTGCCTTCTAGGCCTCCTCTTTAGGCTCTCGTGGGCCCAGTACTTCCCTCTGTCATAGCACTTGCCACACTGTACTGTCAAGTCTCTCTTCCCCACCTGACTGAGCTCTAAGAACACAAGAACCATGTCTTATTCATCTTTGTGTGCTGGTGCACAGCCCAGGATAGATGCTCAGTAAATATCTGTTCATTCATTCATCACACACATACCACTGTGCGAGCACTGGGGATATAGCCTTAAAGTGGGGACAACAAACTGCTCCCCTGAACTTAAGTCCTAGAGAGGAGAGACAGGCAACAAAGATACAACACGTGAGAAGAACACAACAGGGAAGAGAACTGAAGTAGCAGGTGCGTGGGTCCCAGCTCTCCGATGAGGTCACGTGTGCGCAGAAGCACGCAGGAAGGAGCCATGGTTATGTGGAGGTAAGAACATTATAGGGAGAAGGGATGTTAGGGGTGAAGGTCCTGAATCAGGAGCGTGACTAGCACGTTCGGGGAAACGAGGACGCCAGTGTGACCGGAAGTGGGTGAGGTAGAGCGGGAAGTGAATCAGGAACGCAGCCAGGGCCACGCAGTCCATGCAGGCTTGGTAAAAGACTTGGATTTGATTCTGAATAAGACTGGAAGTCCCCTGCAAGTCTTGAGCAAGGGCTGACCCGACCTGACCTAGACTTGAAAAGATCAAACTGCCCATGTGTGGAGAAGAGACTACTGCAGCCTAAGTGTAGAAGCAGGCAATTCGAGTACGTGTCTATTGTGAAAACCCAGTCATTTGTTGAACAAATAAATGGATGAATGAAGGCAGGCAGCACAAGTGGTTGGGGGGCAGGGCCTCAAATGCTCACACCCTGTCCACTCTGGAAACTGCAAGTTGTACCTCAATTTCAGCACTTGAGTTTCTGAGCCCCTGGGATGGTTACTTATTAAGATATTTGAGGGGCCAGCCCCGTGGCTTGGCGGTTAAGTGCACGCTCTGCTATTGGCGGCCCGGGTTCGGATCCCGGGCGCGCACCGACACACCACTTCTCCAGCCACGCTGAGGCCGCGTCCCACAGGTAGCAACTAGAAGGATGTGCAGCTATGACATACAACTATCTACTGGGGCTTTGGGGGGGGGTGGAATAAATAAAATCTAAAGATATTTGAGCTGGCTCTTACCCTGTACGAGCTACACTTGGCAGAAGGCTGACTTGTGAAGTTATCACTCTTGAGGAAAGATATTATATATGCTAGGTGAGAAAAAAGAAAATGGATGCTAATGAATTTTAGACTTACTTCAGGTATTTGGCTATAAAGACGGGCCATGATCAAGCTGGGTTATGATTCAGAAAGCATGGAGGCCGCCAGCTGACCAGGGTCTCTTCTGAGAGGCAATCTTGCCCAATGGGCAGAGACCTGGACTTGAAATTAGGAGACCAGGGCTCTGTCACTCACTAGCGTGGCTTTGGGTAAGTCACTTACCGCTGTGAGCCTCTTTCTTCATTAGGAACAATTCCTAAAGTCTCCCTGACAGCCTCAGGACGATGCTGTGAAGACCCAATGAGATGAGGAGGGGCATGTACAACAGAAGACATGTTCCCTTCCTTAAGGAGCATGTAGGTTAGTCCCTGGGGGGGGTCACAGCTTCTTCTCCCACCAGTAATGGCTTTGGCTGTTGTTGACAGTGACAGTAGGACAGTGTCTTGGGATTGGATGCACCAGGAACAACAATGACAACTGGTATTCTTACGGTACTTCAAAGCGTACAAATCACATTCCCATCTATTTTATCATTTGAGCCTCACAACAACTTTGTAGGCGGTTATTACATCCATTTTAAAGACGAGGAAACTAAGGTTCAGAGTGGTGAAATGGCTTGCTCAAGGTTTCACAGCTGCTACATGTGACAGGGCCTGAAGCTAGGGCATGACATTCTGTCATCTGCCCCCAGAGTCTGTGTCATTTCTGTCAGTCATATGTGCTGACCACGGGGCTGCTTACCACGCCCCAACCCAAGGCGTACTAGGCAGGCACTGGGGAGGCAGCGTTCTGTAATGGATCATTCGATATTTCAAGCCCTGACTGGGCATGTGGTGTCCAGGCCATACCTGTGGGAAACTAAAAGCTCCAAAGAAATGTTCCCATCAGTGTTAGGGAGATAATCCTGGGGCTGGTGGAAGGAGGTCTTTTTTCTCTGGGATATGAACTGCAAACAAACCAGCAGCTCTTAAAGGAAGACAATGGTGGCAGCAGGCTGCTGGTGGGATGTTCAGAAAGTAGGGACCCCCAAGAGGGACACAAAGTGCTGCCAATGTGCAGAGGGAGACTGCAAAGGTCAGGCAGAGTTGCTTCTCAGACCCTTGATTTGAAGTCCCAGACCACCCAGATCTGCTGGTGCCACTATCCTCCTATCGTCGGGTCCTCCCTATCCACCTTCAGTCCTGCAGGCCTGGTTCCAGCCCCACTCCCCTCACCAGCCCAGCCCAAGCAGCCTGGCCTCCTGTCTCCCAAAGCATGGGCTGTCAGTATCACCACGGGAGTTGATACTGTTAGTTAACTTTTCAAACGTTAAAAAAAAAAGAGTAACTTCAAACTGTTACAGTCATTTACAGGCTACAAAGAACTTTCACAAACATCATCTCACGTTATCCTCACAACAACCCTGTGAGGTAGGTATGGTTAACCTATTGTATAGATGGAGAAATCAAGTTTCAGAAAGGTGATGTGACTTGCCCAATGGCACACCATTGGCACAAGCAGTGTTTGAACCCAGATTTGTCTGACTCCACGTCTGATGGGCACCCACCTCAGGGCCATAGACAGCTGTAGGTCTGTGGAAACAAGGCTGCTGGCTGGGGAAGGCGTGTTCCTTTGTTTAGCGGTGGTGCTAGGCGGGCCAAGGTGACGGGTGCGATTTCTGTGTGAGACAATTCTATTTGCCATGTCCCTCAATCACAGATAGCACCCCTCACCTTGTGCCCAGGTTCACAGGCTTGCGAGCGGTGCTGGTTCAGGAAGGTCATCTTGGTCTGCAGAGGATGGTGCGATGACAGGAAGGGCCAGGCTACAGGAAACACACAAATGGACAAGGGAACGAACCGGCGTGCTCACCCACTCACCAAACACCTAGGATGGGTCAGCCCTTCTTCAGGGCGCTAGAGACTTGAAAAGCAAGGTGCCTGTCCTCGAGGGGCTCACAGTCTACACAAGCAAACCACGAGTTCCAACCACGTGGGACGACAGCGTGTCCAGAGCTAGGGAGGGAGCCTTGCGGTCTGCTGGGGTGCTGGGAAGGCTCCCCAGCACAGTAACGTGAAGGAGGGCAGGTCAGCAGCAGACAGAAGGACTGCAAGTGCAGCAGCACTGAGAGGGGAGAGCACGGCATGGCCTGGCACAGCTCAAGCACAAAGTATGAGGAGAACATAAGCGAGGCAGGAGCCAGGCCACGAAGGGGCTTGTGAAACTGACCTGGGTTCTGCAGAAAGGTCACGTTAGAAGTGCCAGCAGGGAGGACAGATTAAAGAAGGGGAAGAAAGGCTGACCAGGTAGGTCCTGCCACAATCCTTCAGCGAAGAAACAATGAGTATATGGGATTGAGGTGGTGCCAGGGAGGTGACGATGAGTCAAAGGGGTATCTGGGGTCAGGCCCACTGCACACCCTTCATCAGTACTAACTGTCCAGTGCGATTCCAATACAGGGTTGGGGGCCTGGGCGGAGGGTCCCAAGACCCAGCAAGCCCCTAGGTCTTAGTTTGCTCACCCAACCTGGTATGGATGTAGCAAGCGCTCATAAGTTAGACACTGTGCTGGCTTTTGAGGGTCCAGAGACAAACAGGACACTTTCTGACTTCCCAACCTGACTGGATTCACATGCTGGAACAATATGACATGCCAAGTGGTGTTAATCGTTATAGCGGAGGCAAAAAGACAGCACATGGGGGTGAGGGGAAGGAGCGATCCTGTCACGGTGGCTGGAAAAAGCTTCATCTGAGAAGCTACATTGTGAGAGAAGAGGGGCTTGAAAGTGTGGGGGAATGTGAGAGGGGATGATGGCAGGGCGCCTTCTGGGAAATGTGTGGTGGTGTGCTCTGTGTAACTGCCGGCATGGATGATGACGAGGGCCCTGCCTGAGCTGAGGGCCCTGCCAGCTGCACTGGCCTGCCAGCTGCTCAGGAAGTGGCCACCAGAGGGCAGTCAGGAGGGGAGGACGCAGGGAGGACGTGCAGAGCAGTGTCCTACCGTTCCAGGTGGGGCCATGCTGGGCCTACTTTCTGGTTGCTCTGGGGCAGAAAGTGCCAACAGCCTCAGCAGGAGGCAGATGAAGACAGCTCAGTATTTCTTTAGGGGAAAAAGGTAGGGAATTTTCAACAGAAAGGTTTATAAGAAGCAAAATCCGGCCCCACTCTAAGAAGCTCTGAGGCGGAACAATGTGAGGAAATGGCCCTGGGCCTCTCTTCACGAGAAGGTCGGGCTGTCTAGAAGCCTTGTGCCTGGGCTCCTTCCCATACTTGTGTTGACGCTGCACTGGGCATTGATTAAGGACACGGGACACTGGGAAAACCGGGAAAACATTTATCATCCAGCACCCGGAGAGTCACATCTTGAAATATACCAATGATGTCATTACAAGCAAACCGAGTAAGAAAAACATACACTGTTATGTTCCAAGAGGCCAATGAAACTAAGCACTTCAATCAAGTGTTTTAATTCACCTCACATGGATTCCTATTAAGCTATTCGGTTTTTCTTCTTTCTCTTTTTGTCAGAGTCCCGAAGGACAAAAATAGATAAAGTGGAACTATTCTGGTTGCATCAGACACTTTGGTGGACCCTTGGAACTCCTCAAAATAACATTTGAAATTTGCTGCATTCAACCCAAAAACTGCAAACAAAGTTCCCTTTGACTACACATGCTTCTGTGCCACTCCTTGCCCAACCCTCCAACACCAGGCTTCAATATTATGAGGCATTCTCACGTCTAATCTTGTGGCTAAGGCTTTTAAAGGAAATCTACATGCTGGCACTGAGCTTGGATATATGAAGCATTAACTCTGAACTTCCAGGTCGAGGTTGTTCTAGCCAGCCAGTCTTCAGAACTCCTGCCATCAGCAGTGTGCTTTGCTGTACCCCATTACCTCATCTGAAATAGGCATTACCACCTCACTTTACAGATGAAGAAACTGAGGCTCTGAGGAGGAGTCCTGCCCAAGGTTAGACAGCCCATCTGCAACAGCCGGGCTGCTCCTGACTCCTACCCTCCTGAATGCAACTTCACCCTACTGTCTAGCAGGATAACAGCTGTTCCAGGTGGCCAGTCCTGCTATAGAAGTCCAGGCGCTGGGACACATGTACTCTAGTATCCCCTTCTGTGGGGCTCCAGGGCTCCAGAAGTCCTAAGGTTCTGAGGTAGAGGGGCTTCTTCCTCCAGCTCTAAGTACAATGGCTGCCTTCTAGAAGTAGTCATGGGCCCCAGACCCTGGCGGTCTATGTGGAAGATCTAATACATGCTGGGAAGAGGTTCTCTGGGCCTTCTCTTCCACTCTTTCCGACACATTCAGGCTCAATCACAATATGAGGTTTGGCCAGCTCCCCTCGTTGCTCCCAGGGACCTACTGGGAATATCTATCTATGACTTTGGCAGGAGTTGGGGGTTGCCAGGTCTTCTGATTTGGAAAGAGTTTCTTGGGGTCTTAGCGGGAGTTGAAAGTGAACCCTCTGGTTTGGAGTCTCCCCACTCTGTCCTGAGTTGACAGTAAGAAAGGTGAGCCTGTGGGAGAGTGAGCTGAAGGATATCATGGCTCCTTGAGGAAAGAACAGTGAAGAAGTTTGCTAGCAAGGGCAGACTGTTCTACCCACTGGGAAGGTCTGACTGGATTTCATTA